AAGATGAGATGAGATGAGATCAGATTAGATAAGTTGAGATAAGATTAGATAAGATGAGATCAGATCAGATTAGATAAGATGAGATGAGATGAGATGATCCAACCAGGCAGAGGACGAGTTCATCCGAGACCCCCGCCGACGTACAGAGTTGCTCGCCAACTTCGAAGATCGGACCGGCTGAATGTGAAAGAATATGCCAAACCAAGTGCCCGAAAACGAGATTAGCATTAAACCTCAAAGTAGACGACGTAGGAGTGAGTTCGCTTTCTAAGGTCTCTCGGTAAGCCCAGCCAAGCGCGAGAACGAGGTTGAACCGACTGGTGCAAAGGTGTTGAGCTCACTTCCATTTCGAGTGAAAGTGTTGGACGAAGAGATTCGAAGGTCGCCGATTCCACCAGAAGACGACGGCGGATACCTCTTGACCAGCTGCCGATTGGCTGTACTGCAAGATTCATGCTGACGCTGTCTCCGAGGTGTAACCTCCTTCGATTCCAGTGCAAAGGTGCTAAGCTTTCGTCCGTCGTCATCAGAGCAAGGTAGCATCGTCACAACAAAATTCGAGTTAACGAGTGACGAGTGCATCTCCAAGACGAGGCACCCAAGTAACGGGCCAGAAAAGCAGGACAGGCACACACACACTAGGAGACCACCGACAGACTCGAGGTACGAGGCGGAACGGAGCGATATCTACGACGTCTCAAAGGAGGCTCTTGGTCCACAACTGTCGAATGAAAGAGTGCTTAATGAAGAGGTTCGAAGCCCGACCCCACCAGAAGACGACAGAGAACTCTTGGCCATCAATCATTTGACGGATAGCATCATTCTTACAACCATATTCGAGCTGAGGAGTAAAGAAAATTGTTAGGGGAACCTTTATTTCGTATGAAAGTGCATGAAGAGATTCGTCGGTCGATCTCACCAGATGAGTACGGATGAATCCGATTGTGCTGCAACCGTTTGGCTTTTATACCATATTCATGTTGACGCAATTCACAGAATCTCCTCCTCGTTTCGGGTGAAAATGGGCGATGGACATCATCAGAGCTGGGTGTCATTCTTGTAAAAGTATCATGTTAACACTAGGGCTTTATTGAGCCAAAAGAAAATTAAAAATTAAAAACCTAGATGAATATAGATAGGTTTGGCTAATTGTCTTTCATATTTGTCCCTAACAATGCTATCTTAGGAGATTCATCGAAACCAAGTTTATCTTCGTATCTACGAGTAAAGAATGGTAAAGAACAGTGAAAACCAATCCGTTCTTGTAGAGCAAACTGACCGATGGCCAAAAGTAATCCAGCCCCGAGTCTCTTCATTACATCCACTTTCTTTCAAGGAGGTGAGCCCAACAGGAGAGGTATCTGCAAAAGCAGGTATCTTTTGCCACCAGAACAGAAACGGGATTACACCCACAAGCATGAGTAGGCATCCAGACCTCTCCGAAAGACTTCGCATAGGTCTCATCATCACATCAAAACGAATCAACGGGCCAAACAACCGGTAGGTCTACTGACGAATGACTTCAGAGGCAATCACACTTACAATTACACCTTCGAAGACCTTAGGGCATACACAGAGTCCTTGAGCAGGCCTCACGATGCCTTGTGGCGAGCAGGGCAGTGTGTTTGAAAAACCACACAATTTAGCAGTGATACCAAGTGAATTTTCGAGGATGGTTGGTCTAGAGAGGGAATACTAAAAAACTGAATATAAATATATACGAATTATAAAAATTATTACTACTGTATATATGCATATACATAAATAATAGAAGTAATTCTTATAATTCGTATACATGTATATGCTATTATTGTTACTATAAGCATTATAGCATTTTTTTATATTATACCACACAAATCAACAAAGTGATACCAAGTGAATTTTCGAGGATGGTTGGTCTAGAGAGGGAATACTAAAAAACTGAATATAAATAT